GCTCATGTCAACAACGTTGTTTCTTTATGCTTTAAGATCGGATCTCAACAGTTATGCATACTTGGAGATTTTAACTTAAATAATTTGTCATGGTCTTTTTTAGATAATTCTTATTTCCTTATTCCTTCGAATGTCTCTAATCCCACAGAGCTATACGTCTCCAATAGTGATGAATACGGTCTCCAATAGTGATGAACATCTTAACTTGTACAAACGCCATTTAGCCGAATTTAGGAATATTGATAAAACCCTTCACAGCAGATACATACGTAATGTTGAGCATAATATAAACCGTAACCCCAAAGCCTTTCGGAATTTTATTAAATCTAAAAACTCTTAATCGAACATACCGTCCTCAATGTTTTTTAAGGAAAAGCATGCCTCTTCTCCCGATCANATAAACCGTAACCCCAAAGCCTTTCGGAATTTTATTAAATCTAAAAACTCGAAATCGAACATACCGTCCTCAATGTTTTTTAAGGAAAAGCATGCCTCTTCTCCCGATCAGATAGTTAATCTTTTCGCTGAATTTTTCAGTGCCAACTTTGTGGCTGAACTTGATGATGGCCTAAATAGTGCTTATTTATTGTATTCTCCATTGTGTTTTAGTAGTTTGAGTGTCTCTGAGTGTGATGATCAAAGGCAATCGCAGTACTCAAGGCCTCCACACAAACCGATGCTGATGGCATATCACCCTCTCTCTTATAAAAATGCTGTGCTCTTATAAAACCGCTGACGCTTATTTTTAATGAATCACTTTCAACAGGGATATATCCTCAAGATTGGGAAAAAACTCTTCACACCAATCCTCAAAAGTGGAAATAAGAATGATGTTTCTAATTATAGGCCGATAACGAAGTTGACAACGATTGCTAAACTATTTGAGTGTATTGTTAAAGTTAAGCTAGATTTTGCTATTTCGAGTCTAATTTCCTCGTCTCAGCATGGTTTTGTGAAAGGAAGATCTACTGTATCTAACCTCGCCATTTTTGCTAAGGACTGTCTCGCTAGCTTTGAGGCCGGACTCCAGGTGGACACCGTTTATACGGACTTTGCGAAAGCATTCGACGGGGTTTCTCACTGAATTTTACTTAGTAAATTAGCAACTTTAGGGTTTCATTCCACTTTTCTCAAATGGATTGGGTCGTAGCTTTCTGATAGGAGTAGTACAGTCGTTCTTAATAACCTCACTTCTCAGCCAGTTTATGTAACGTCAGGAGTTCCACAAGGAAGTATTTTAGGACTTCAGAAATGACATAAGTACTTGCTTTTTACACTCTAAATTCCTGCTTTACGCGGATGATCTCAAAATCTTTTCTACTATTTCGAAAGCTGAGGACTCGGTCCTACTTCAATCTGATATTGATAGGGTGCACTCTTGGTGTGTGCGTAATCGGCTATATTTAAATGTTAAAAAATGTTATCAAATAGTTTTTTCAAAAAAGCGGAACACCATAAAGTCGTGTTGTTACATTTCTGGCACAAATACTTAGGAGTGTTCTTTGACAAAAAGTTCCTATTTACCGATCATATAAATTATATAGTGGCCAATGGTTACCCTATGCTTGCTTTTGTACGCCGAAACAGTTCCTACTTTTCTGATCCCTATACACTGAAGAGGCTGTATATAGCTTTTGTTAGATCTCGTCTAGAATATGCCTCCTTTATATGGTGGCCCTTTCAAATCACTTATATCAATAGAATTGAGCGGATACAAAAAGTTTTTATTAAGTTTGCGTTGAGGTGGCTGAATTTCGAAGAGCCTCTTCCTTCATATAACTCTCGTTGCCTTCTTATCAATTTAGATTTACTCCAGAATAGAAGAAAATCGTGATCATGTTCGTTTGTCATCATTGTCTTGGTAGGTAATATTGACTGTGCGGAAATTTTAAGTTGAATATTACTACGTTTATACGCATGCATAAGTCGCTTTAATTCATTTCGCCACGATTCAAAACATATGTATGAACTGAATTTCAATTCGCTTTGAAAGAGCGAAGTGTTTTGGCTCACACTCCATTTCAAATCGGTAGTTTATTTCTCCAGACAGTTAGAAAGAGTGTATAAACACCGCTCTCACTCAAAGCGAATTGGAGATCAGCTCAAATTCCAAATAATCGCATCAGTATTTAAAAGCTGATTAATGATAATCGTTCTTTTTCTTTGCCACGATTTTATAATGCCGAATAAAACTAGATTTTTATCACTTTCCACTATGTTAACTTATAAAATGTCAAATGAAAACAGCAAATTTTGTTTGCTTTTGAAGACGGTTACTTTGATGCCGATATAAAGCCGTAAGTATAAACACTAGAGCGAAATGTGTACGGTGTCAATGCGCTTTCAATTAAGTCGATTATTCTGTGCGTATAAACGTAGTATATGTTTCAATATTCCTGTTCGAAGTCTCAGGAATTTTGGCATGTTTTATGTCCAGCCTGACAGATCCAACTATGCTCACAATTCACCAATTGCACGAACATTGAGGGAGCTTAATGAATTTAAAGAAATAGATCTCTTGCATCCTGGAGTGGTGTTAAAGAACACAATAAAATTCAGTCTTAGTCGTTAATCTTGTATGAGCTTATTATTATTCCATAACTGAATTAAAAAAAAAAGGTTTCTGCGCTTCCGTCGTAATTAGCACGATATACTTGACTTCCCACTCGCCATGGTACTCTAAGATAAAATCAACCTTATTTGCTTCTTCCTCAGCTAATTTGAAGATACTTTTAAAGTTTTTTCTGCGTTTTGTCGAATATCGGCTAGTTCTGTATAAAAAAGTGCTAATTGATCACAAAATAATGAAAGACTTTGCAATTAAAAAATATGAGTTACACGGGTTATAATGTACTTTTGTTTATTTAATGTTTATCATTTTTCAATAAAAGTCTAGCTGGTTATACAGGGTGTCCCAGAAGTAACGTGCCAAACTTTAGGGGAAGGTAGGTGGGGGGGTGAGCTCACTGATAAACAAAAAATTTTCAGGTAAAAGTGTCACCGTTTTTGAAATATTTACATTTTTTCGAATTTAAAAAAAATCGTGCCTTTTCTCGTGTTTTCTTTAACTGCAACTACAAACCGGGCAATACTTAGTAA